ATGGTGGTTACGGGACAAATTGTCAGTCAAGCCTCACATAACTTCAGTAAAGTGGGAATTACTTGGTAGTGAAAAGTGATAGAAACGTCGGATTTTCGCTGTTGTCTATTCTGTATATTTAGTCAACTTCTGGCATATAAAGAAGGCAAATTGAATAACTTACCAGAGCTACCACAGACCATGTGGTTACGGGACAGAAAAAAAAATTTTTTTGGGATCATAAATTCGGAACAAATTTGTGAAAAAACAGAACAATCAGTAACAAAGGTAATGATGTAGCTGAGTAGAGCGAAGAAAATACTATAAGAAAAAGAGAAAAAAAATATATTGCTCCACATAAAATAACAGAGAAAATAACATATACAAAACCAAACGTAGTTGAATCACCAGAAAAACAACATCAAAATAACGGTCAAACATCGATGTTTTGCTTATAATTCGTTCATGGTTAAGCATAGAAAAGTCGTACTTGCAGCGATTATAAGCCTAACGTTGTTGAATATATGCGAGAAGTCCGAAAATGATTCATCAAGGCTAAGAAAAGAAACGCTTGGGATCATTTACTTCATTCGAACAGTACTATTTTTATCAGAACCACTCATATATATAAATGCGAAAACAAAGCTTAGAATTTCGATTTAAACTACTTAAGTCGTGTTTTCGTGACGACTTAACTTTTTATCGAACAATCAGATTCGTTAATGCTCTTTAACTTTTGTAGTCTGAACATGGTCTTATATCTTTATGGTCCACCAAAAAAATGCTTATATATATATATGTGTGTATAATTAAGCTGCTCATCATTCAATTTCTTTCTTTCTATTATGATAAATAAACTCTTAAATAAACAAAAACTTGTCCGTGTTCTGGACTAGAATGATAACAAATGAATAAAAAAAATATTAAAAACAAATACATCACGGATTTTCAACAAAAAAAAATAACTTGTTCGCATACAAATTATAACGCTGGTTGACACAGAGTTGAGCAATGTCAACAAATTTAAGTGAAGGTGTAGAAAACAGAAGAAAACAGCATACGACTATGATTTCGATGAAAAAAAGTTCAAAACAAGTTTTTTGATTTTTAATAACAGAAAACATCATGCCTTTTAATTCATAATGCACTGACAATCTCTGCATATGGAAGAAGAATTAAAAGTATGTAATTAATAACTTACAACTGTGTCTAAAAACATGTAGAAAAAAACAAACAACTAAAAATATATTAAATAATTTTAGTCACAAAGAAGCGTATCAAAACGAAGCATGAGACAATTATCGATTAAATTAGTCCAAGAGCAAATTGACTTATGATTTGTGGAGCAGCCGAATCGAATCCTGCGATATCTAACATTCCACCGTCGTTTGGATCAGCAATACTAAATTGAGTCGCTGTCATGCCGCAAACAATCAGTTTGGCTTCAGGCTTATTCATTTTTGTTCGGTACTTTTTCAATGCTTCCGTTGGATGGATACCACCAAACCAAGTTTCACTATCCGTATAAATAATAAAAACATCAATATCTTCTTTATGATCAAGTGCCCATATCATTGGTAGTGCACAATCTGTACCACCCATGGGGATAGCTCGAGTTATGTCCATTACTTTTTCTAAAGTTTGATCTTTTGTAATTGTTACTGGAACGAGTTCATGACTGAATGCTGCAAAAAAAATAAGTAACTATACAATATTAATTAACTGAAAACAGTAGATATGTACTTACCAACAACTTTTGTATAAGGTTCGGTTCTGACTGTAACCATACACATTGCACAAGAGCCGACAGCTGCATCTATTGTCGGACTACCGAGTATTTGTGCGCCCGACATTGAACCACTAACATCTCTACAAATAATTTAAATAAAAGAGTAATAATTAGATTTCAACGTGACAAACTGTTTACTTACAATCCCAAACAAAATCGTTTATTTGTCTTTTCAACAAATTTAAATGATAAATAGAATGCACTTTCTAATGCTTGTTTCACTTTTTCATTCACTGTCCATGTTAATTTTCCTTTGACACCTTTTCCTCGTTTGTATGTTTCTAATGCTACTAATAAATTAAATGGATGTATACGTGCACGACGAAGTTGTTGCTGATCATTTAAACGTTGAACAATTTGTTTTTCAGCGTCACTATTTTCTGTTAACAGATGAATTTCAGACATTTTTCCTAAATTTCGTATCATTGCTGTCATTGGCATTTTTTCTAATAATGCTGTCCATATTCCAACTGAATTTAAAACGGTCGTTGGCATATGTTCACGCACTAAATGAAATTTTTTAATCGATTCTATTAGTTCTTGTTCATTTGTCGATTTTTTTGCTTCTTCAACAGCTGCTAAAAATGCTTGTAATTCAGCTGTTGTTGTTATTTTTTCATTTATTTCTTCTTCCATTCCATCATCGTTCTGTTTACTAGTATGTGTTGATGTATCTGCATTACTGTCTATCGTGGTGTCAGTCGTAGTTTCAGCGGTTGTTGGTGCTGTTTGTAATGATTCGATTGCTTTTTCAAATCCTTTTGTAATATAGACGAATAAAAATCGTAACAATGGATTCGTCGTTTTGGGATGAGATAATCTAAACACAAATAATAAGTATTTAAACTTTTTATTACGTAAAACTGTCAAACTAGCATGAGTTGTCCCTGTGACTACGAGAAAATTCTCCGTTAAAAGATACTTCTATTTGTTCTATGCATAAAGAATTCTGTGCTGCTCTATTAACACGAGGTTTCTCTTCAAAAAGTCTATTTTTTCACTAAAAATCGAAATAAAAATTTTACATCAAGTGTTTTTTCCCAGAATCCATATCGATTTCTACCAAGAGTATTTTCAACAAGTTTTCTCAAAAAGTCTTGGAATTGAATATTTTATTTTATTTTATTTTGCTTGAAAGTAACTAAAAATTGCTTCAGGTTTCATAAGCAGTATTTTCTGGAAGTTTTGTGAAGATCAATCTTCCATTAACTGAACAAAATAGTGCATGATCTAACTCACACAAATTCCCTCTAGTAGTTAGAAGAAGAGATGTCAATAAAAAGAAAAAACTAATTACCGGAGAACATCTCGGTGTGTGTATCCTTCTCTGTTTTGATATTTTGTAATAGCCATTGCTAATTTGCTTGGATTTTGTGTTGTATACCAAGCTGATACTGCGTTTCGCTGTGCTCGTCCCCAACCTAACGTTATGTAGGAAAAATATAGTAAGATAAACGCATGTATGAGTAAGAAAAATAGCTTACCCTGTCCAAGTGCATGTGCATATTTAAGGAACATGAATAAATGCGTTGGTATACGACAAACATCAGCTAATGCTTTATAAGCAGCTTGTTTTGTTGGAAGATGATCAGATTTTGCACATAATGCTAGTACAAACATAATTGGATTTTGTTTTGATGTTCTCCCTTCTAATGAGAATTTTTTCACTTCAGCTACCACTTCTTCACCTCTTCCAGCTTTGATTAATTCAAGTACAGCTTTTGCATTTTCAATGCCCAGTTCTTTTTCGCCTTAAATGCAGAAAACATAGTCAATATTAAACAACAATCAGAATGAAGAATATATTCTTACCAATGTAATAGGTGCCACCTTCTGAACCAAGACAAAGAAATCGTCTTAAACGTTGCATATTATCGATAGCATAAACAAACCCACCTAGAAAGAAAAAATTGTAACGGATGATAAAGAAATAACGATGTTTTTTCCTATAGTTTTTACCAGCACTATTTTCAACTTGATCATTTGTTAATCGTGTCGTTTGTGGTATATCTTCAACGTCCATAGTGTCCATGATGATTTTTTCTTAGGAAACAGAGGATAAGGAGTAAGAAATGAGATATGATCACAATCTGAAAAGAAATAAACAATACATTAGTAAAATTATGTATAGCTTTTTGATCGTGCATGAGTTTATTATATTAAACAAATGAAAAATAAAAGCACTGTTTAGATCATCCTTTATTTATAGCACTTACTAAGAAAAAAACGAGTAGAAAAGAGAAACAGAGTCTACAATAAGAAGAATACCTGAGAATAAAACACAAAAAGTTTTTACTTTTGTGAAAAAACCTTAATGATTTCACTTATGTTGCTCATTTAAAAGTCTTTTATTTTTCAAAAAAGAAAAATTTAATTAAAAAATAAGTGAGCAATTGAACGCCTTAACGTGAATTGAATAACCTTTTCTTTTATATTTATTTGAGTACTGTACAAAGTAAATGATTAAGTAATCTAGTGGTTAATAATAATGGAAACTATTTAACACGAATGCTAGAGAAAGCAATATCGTAAAAGCAAATTAGTTAATTTTATAAAGCCGCCGCAGAATTATGTAGAATCTATCCTTCATATTTTTTAAATTATATATATATTATACATTTTGAATTATTTTACAATCAAGTGTCTAACTGTTCCTTTTTAGGAAAAAGTTTTTCTTCAATCCAGTTCAATGTAAATTGAAATATAAGATCTTTTTCTGGTTCATTGTGTATTTCATGATACAAATCAGGCCACTCTTTGTATAGCACATCACCCTTTGAACGTTCTGCAAATCGTCGACTAGCTACATACGATGTTAATCCATCTGCGCCTCCGTGTTGTATTAAAACGGGTATAAAAAATTCACCACCATTTTTATCCATAGTCAAAGCCATGTCATTGATAGAAGCAAACAAAGCAGCTGTTGCTCGACCATGTACAAGAGGATCATTTACATACGCTTCAACAACGTCTTTATCACGAGAAACAAGTGTTGAATCAAGTTTTAGTGGAAGATTTAGAGTAGGGTGTATTCTGCTCAGAGTACGAATTAAAAAAGATACAGGACTCATCGGCTGTGCCGTTAAACGAATCCAAGGTCCAGTTACAATCATTGCAGCATACGGACAAACACTTGTTTTTGATGTATTACGATTTAACGCATAAGATAAACATAAGTTACCACCCATCGAATGACCATATAGAACAATTGGAGATAAGGGATAACGTTGTCGAATTTCACTAATTAATAGATCAAGATCCTGCCACAGTGATTCGATTGACGGTGCAAAACCACGTTGACCTTCAGAAATACCATGACCTCTTAGATCCATGGATACAACTGTATAATTATGTTCATTATAAAATTTAGCAAAATGAGTATATCGTTGACTATGTTCTGCAAATCCATGTATGAGGATTATTACACATCTTGGAGGCTGTTTCATACAACGCCATTCGCAAGCGACAAGTTTTAAACCATCATGCGTTCGTAATTCAAAAATGTCCATGTTTTATTAATACACAAATGTGATTATACTATTATTATATAAAATGTTACAAAAACAAAAACCGACATAATTTACATTATATGCTGTTGCTATATGCTATTTATATTATATAATCTTAAATGTGTCACTAACAAGTTTCCGCACTCTTACCTATATAAAACGCGATAAAGAAAGAAAAAAGTAATGTGAACTCTCACATTGTAATTTTATGTCATCTTCTATAACAGAGGAAGAAAAATAACAACTTAATGTTACTGTTTTATTTCCAGCTCTATGTATTTTGCACAAATATTATAAATAATGTGAAACAATATTAAAACTTTTTCAGCGACATTCTCACACGAAAAACACATTCCAGACATCCAGAACGAATTATTTGAATAAAACATCTTTTCGTTTCTCTGACATTATTTATTGGTTTATCAAGTTATGAAAAAGAAAACTCAGATAAAACGGTGATAACGACAAACCATTTATATATGAATAAAAAATCTAAAGACATCTAATCGAACATTTACAGCACATGACAAGAGAGTTAAGTATTACCAGAGAAGCCTCCTAGATGACTAATTTGCAAGCTCGCGTTCGATTACCATTGGTCAAGAAAATAAGATACTTAAGTTAATCATAGAAGAATGTGCATGCTAATCCACTGTTTAGAAGGCCAAAATATGATGAAAAAATACTGGAAAGAATATAATAAACTGACACAAAAACAACAACAACGCATTTAAAACACGAGATTACATTCTTCAGGAATCCTCTCACACTATAGAGTGATTTTTTGAACTAAGCAACCCATCTTAATGAAATTTGAGAATAGAACAGAAAATATAAATAATGATATGGTAGAGGTATGATACACTTTCTCTGGTGACATTCTTCTTGAGAAGCGCTCAAAAATTATGAGTGTCACAAAAATGCTGCCAGTACAATTCCAAAGTCTCGAAAACGGCTGGGCAAAAATAAATCTAAAAAAACGATTTGTTCAACTTTTTTCGTTTGAAAAAGTCTGCTCTGCAAACCTACATATTCAAAAAAAAAAGAATTAGTAGCGCATAGAAAAAGACAGTTACGACTACACGATAGTCAGAATATTGAAAAATCAAATTTCGGTGCAAACAGATGGTTTTTTGATAGAAGGATTCCTTAAATAATACTTAATTTACGCATACGATAGAAGGCTTCAGAGAAAACCCGGAAAAATTAATCTCTACAAATAACTTGTAGACGACGTTCCATATTAATCAGTTTATCTTTCCATCTAAATGAATTACTCGACTCATAGTGAAACACTTGTTTCACACATAGAAAGTATGCGAAAAATGAAGATGAACATCTACTGTATTCAATAAAATATCGAGATATGACATTAAGCTCAATTCACACAGAAAATATAAAATTTTACTAATAAATAATAAGTTATCAATTTTAATATACCTTTTTACTGATAAGTACAAGCACATTTAAATCTGTGAAATGTAAACTCAGAACAAACCTTCTTATACACAAAGTTGGTTGCTATAATACTTTTGACTTCCAGTAAAAACAAACTTGTATCTAACAGGGTTATAAATAACGTCTCTCTAAGACTTTATAGGTTTGCTCTTGCATAACAAATTCGAAATTTACTGAAAAATGACGTCAATACGACAAAAAAAGGGTAACTGATATTTCACAATCGAAGTGTATAAAAAGAAATTATCTGTCGAATCGAAAACAAGATCTTCTGATTTTGTGCATTTTTCTATTTATTTTATGAAGCAAACTCGTTGCGTTTAGACAAGAACTAAATAAGATTTTATTTTCTGTCTTCATCTTTTTTTTTACACAATGAATGACGCTTTCATAATGAATATCTCGTTAAAACCTTTCACCTAGTGAATTTGAGTTCTTCAAAAAAGTGCACGAACTAAGCACATTTTTTTCACCTTAGTCCAGGTAACACAGGTGTGGATTCAGCGCCCTGGTTAAAGGGGATATACGCCCATCCTGCCTTTAGAGAAAAACATTCTCTTTAATACTTTTCTCCTTTCTCCCAAGAATTTCGCCTACACTGATTGGTTACTCAATCTGGGCAAGAGCTTACCAGATTGAATAACCAATCTAATCAATATTTAACGAAAAACACACCTTCTCCCACTTTGTCTTCCAAAATACTTGAGAACAAAAATTCCCACTTTTCTTCATTGAGAAAACGAGCTCAAATGGATGTCAACGTTATCATTATCATGTAGTTGTTATTGTGTGGAAATTATGATGATAGATGGTGTTGTGTTCTCATATTTCTGTGGTTTTCTCCCAAAAAAATTACACCCCTTCTGCTTTTTTCTCTTCCCACGGCACTATGTAAATTAAATGCGTTATCCAGATATACACTGAAGTTAACTGTCTGCCTCAATTCAGATGGTCTCAGAGCGACAATCATCTTGAGAAATTAAGTGCTTACCAACACATACCAAGAAAAAAGAAAGACATGATGATACGTTCATTCTTATCTAGAGTCAGCTGAGATTCTTGATTTTTTTGCGAGAGGTTGGCCAATCTATTTTTCAACTTGTAAACAAACAGATACCTTTCACATCAATTACAGCAATGAAGTAGTTGATTTTTGATAGAATACATAATAAATATAATATAAGTTTTGTTTTACGGAGTCTTTGCAATCTGACGTTGTTTTTTGCTGGAAAGTTTAAGTCTTAAAAGACTTAACGGGCTACGATTATTGTTCACCTAGTCAAAACTATAGCGTTTTTCAATGACATTATTGTTGCGGTTTATGTTCGATCAAAATAAATGTTATTTCATATTAAACTCTATGTAAAGACGAACAATATGTTATATGGACAAGCATTGTACCTTTGGTTTGTTCCAATAAAAAGATTTTCTAACGAGCAGCTTTGTTTTGTAAATAAATAGTCGATGTTTGTTTATCGTTGTATTTCATTCATATTTTGGCAAATTCATTAAACAAAAATTAATAAAAAATAACAAACTAACTAAAAAATAACAGAATTAAACCTAATTTTTTTAGTGAAAAAGTTATATACAAATAAAAAATGAATTTTTCTCTTTTTTTTATTCCGCTTTTTTGATCTTATCATGTTTTTATTTAGTATTTTCCTTTTTTTAATCTTTTTAATTTTAACGTGCAATGTTTCTCTTCATTTTTTTCAGTTTTTTACATGCACAACAACAAAAGTATAAAAAAGTGTTTTGTTTTCACGAGTTCGAGTTTAGAAAGTGTATGAAAGCCATTCTGCAGTATTCAATCGAGGTATTGTCGATCAGACCGATATGCGACGTCCTGCACATTCATAAAAAATAAATAAAAATTAGAATTAGGTAACGAAAACAAAGAATAAACAAAAGATGTGATTTTCTAAGATATCAACTAAGTGCACAGATAAAAACAATCCAAAGTACATAATTTTTTTGTGAACGAGATCTCTTGGAGTTAACGCTCGTTCTTTATAGAAAATGATATAGATAAATCTGAGAAGCCTTGCATTTTTTCTCTGACATGACCTAATGCCTTTTCGCTTCTCCACGTGTTTATATATGAAAGCAAATGTTATCTGAAACTGTGATCTACGTCTCAAAAGGTGTGTTCAAGAGCAAAAAAAGATGAAGTGTTGGTGCCACAATAGGGAAAATAATAATAATGTTTTTAATGAAAACCATATTCCACAGAACAACATCAGTTTCAACATGGGGAATATAACTATTTAGAATTAATGCCACAATTAGAAAACTTCTACACTAATATCACTAATTATCGTATTACACCTTTATCTTCCAATTATTACTACCCACCGACCGAAAAACTGTCATTAATTTCTTTTATAACCAAAATGTAAAAAACAAACATTTTTTAATCAATTGTTATTTTTTTTAGGTGTAAGTAACGAGCTGTTTCGTATTGAGTAGAGAAAAAAATGCGCGCCGAAGTTACGAACAACAATGTCACTCATAGCTATATATCTAAACTAAAGTATGAAATACTTTTATCGTATGAATATATTTGATCACTCCTAACACGATGTAGTTCTAAAACCAGATGCTGAGTATAATAAGTCTGAAACTGATAATGTTGTATTGATTCTATACCTTCTTACCCGTTAAACTTAAATGAATATTTTTTTAAAAATATTCTTAGAATATGCCAATTATTTTTTTTGCCATTTTTCTTGATTTTTTTTGTGTGTTTGTTCTTGTTTTTTCCTTTTTTCTTGGCCTTTTTTTGTTTTTTTTTCACATTATTTTTACATTTTTTTTTTTACATTTTTTTTACATTTTTCTTTTTTACATCGTGCAATGGCATTACAGACACGTTAATTAATTGAAAAAAAACAACAAATGTTTTTTGGGAAACATGACCATCGATTTTATCTTTACAATTTCTCAGCAAAAAAAACTGAATGAAGAGAAGAAGGAAAATAGATAGTAGTGCGAAACAAGCAACTCGAACATATGATAATTTTCTCACCATGAATGTGAGTCTATCATCCAAATGACGATGACTGATCAGGTAAATTTCCAGTTTCTGTCTATAAACAATAAAAATTACCATACACACACGCATATATCTCATGCATACGCTATTAACAGATGGATTAATTTAAAAAAATAATACGTCGCGACATGTTTGCTTGCTTCTTCCATGATGTTTCTAATATCTAATCAAAGAAAATTAATGCACGAAACATGTGATGGTCATAAAGCAAAACGAAAGAAAGAGAAACATACAAAAAGAGCACACACAAGTGTCAAAGACGACATTTTTTGACAAAGAAGGAAAAATTGAATAAAAATCGGCTAATATGGTGAATAAAAATAACTGCTACGTCCTCGACCTCTGAAATTAATAAAAAAAAAGACATATAAACAGATGGGTGAACATTTGCTGAGAAGACAGATTGCTGTTTGAACCAACATACCTGAAATATGGTCGAGCTCTTCCACGGAAAGTAGGAATGTAAGCCGGCATATACGCGGCACCTCCTCTTGGATAACGTCCTCCACGTGCAAAACCTCGACCACCTCTTGATGGACGGTCGGTTGACGTAAATCCAGGACGATTTGTACGTTTTCCAAAAACCTAAGAAAAAAAGAATGTACCCGGATATAAAAATAACAAAGACTATTTGAATAAACTACTTTGATTTGTCGACCCTTGAATAATGAATCATCAAGTGCCACTGCAGTTTGTACAGAATCTTTATCGGCAAACTCAACGTACGCATACCTAAAACAAAGAAAAAATATGTTAGAACTAGAAGTCGAATTCGATTAGAAATAACAAACCCTTTTGGATGTCCACTAAATTTATCACATAAGATTGTAACACGATGAATTGATCCGCACCCATGAAAATGATTTTCTAATTCTTGTGCTGTGGCAGAATAATCAACCTAAAACAAAATATGAGCTGAAAATGATTCCTCACTAGAACACCACAGATCGCTTACATTTCCTACATAAACAGATCTTTGATCTGCTTCCATTTTTTCTTCAATAGTGGGAAACTGAGCTAAATTAGAGAAAAAACAACAACAATAATATTAATAATGAAAGTCTTTGTACGTCTATGAAATGATGTATTCTTACGTGTGCCAGGCGTTCCAGGTAGCTGCGTTTGTTTTTCAATTTCAAGTTGCATTAATTTAAGTTTTTCAGCTTCTTCTTCCATTTCACGAATTCGTTTTCTCATTGTTTCAATGTCCTTAAAATACGCGGTTTTATTAATAAGTATAATGTAAAGCATTATGATGTCTTACTGATTCATCATTGCCCATATCGGATGTATCTAACATTGTATCTTGAACATTTTCTTGTGCTTCAGCATTCACCACAAGGTCTGTAATTCCATTACTAGTTACACCGTTTGTATCCATAATAAATTTTTTGTAGGAAACTGATTTTAGAAAAAATAATATCTAGAATCTATATACTAATACAATCAATTAATCAGTAAAGAGCTGATAGGTACATTTTTTCAAAATATCAAATTATTTATATCCTTTATCTAGTGAGCGAGCTTATTTTAGTCAGCTCCATTCATTGAACGTTTTGTGAGACACTCTTCTCTGCGGTATAGAGAGAAAGTAAGCAGACTTGAGAAACAAACTGAGAAAGTGAAAAACAAGAACAAAAAGACAGTTACATTTAATTTTTGTGAAATTTAAGCGTTAAAAGACTAAATCGTTAACAACATATCGAACTAATTAAAAAAAGAATAAAGAGAAGATTAATATGTCTCAATTCAATTGAATTTGCGTCGAGTTTAAAATCTTGACATATATAATTGATAAAGCCTCGATAAATGATTCGTTAGCAAAAACAAGATGGCAGAGGCGTTACAGAAATTAAACTTGATCATATTTCCACCAAAAGAAGTAACTTTTCATCTTGACTTTTCTCTAGAGAAAAGTCATTTTTAAATTTAACAACATTCTAGACACTATAATGGTCTTTCTTTATTCTAATCCGTACGAAGTCTCAAGTCACGCATGTCATTGGTTTATTTGATTGACAAATAATAGCTCACTAAAAAGATCCGTTTCATCTTAGCACTATTTTAGAGCATGCTAGAAACGCGTTTACAATGTGACAATACCACCCTAAAACTATGCTACAAGCCATTCAGTCTGTAGTGTGTATCAGAGATAGTCGAGTACATCATTTTTCGAGCAGGAGTACATAGTATTTTAGGCCAGGCATGGGTATGAGTACAAAAAAATTTACTCGAGTATTTAATAAGACATATTTCAAAACAGCAAAGTCATTTTATTTTTCAGAAACACGGAGTTTTGTGAGATTTGAACAATTGTTCCTAACGTGCTTATTTTCTTTTATCCCATGAAGTTTTAAAAGAAATACTATGTTTTTAGGAAATGTATTAGGAGTTTCATCAACATTTTTAAAATCAAGTGCTCGAGTATTTCGTTGAATATTTCAAAAAAAAATCGCAAGTACGAATACTCAAAAATCTGTACGAGTAAATACTCGTTCCCCTCATCTCTGATATGTATATCTGCAGATTCAAAATTCGACGAACTCAAACATATTTTATCACATGGGAGTCATGTTATATTTATCTATTATGAACTTCATTCACTTGATTTTGACGCTGATTTACATGCGTTTCAGACTATTAAAACAAATCGAATCAGTTCCTGTTTATTAGACCATTTAGAACATGAGTGGTCGATAAAAACCATATCAGTTACTAACTCTATATGGATTCTACTACATTTATACCGACTCATCTTTGTCACAATTTCATAAATCCTTGTGCTAATTGTAGGGTCAATGCTTTTTACTAGTAACACGCTTTTAGTGTATCAGTGACATGCTGCGCTTTAAGTGTGCCATAGGTCCTGAAGTGTGCCCGTAGTACACTTGTTGGTAAAACGTGGAAGCGAATTAGAAACAAAAAAGCACACTTAAAGGGTCTTTTTTTGTTACCCGAACGTGCCAAAAGCACGAAAAAAGTGTGCTGTTTCTGCCGTATTGGAGATTGGAGATTGAAGGTTGGACTTCTAATGACACGATTCGTCCATGCTATTTGAACACTTGCCGTACGTTTCTGTCAGGTTGTGCCTGTCTTTCCCGATCGTTTGCTTTTGTGTTCTGCATAATATTATATTTAGCGGCTAGCTTTCCGATATTTTCTGTTAGGCGTCAATTTACTGTTGATACCAGAGGTGGGCGATACCTCGCAATTCCTCACGGGGCGATCCTCGCGAAGAGATTTTTTGAAACCTTTTGGGAAAGCCGAGCCCCGCGGGCGTGACATTTTTTTCTTGTTAACGAAAGATGAAATGGAGACGCTGAACGGAATTCTTTTCAGTTCACTTGAAAAATATGTTTATTTAGTACATGACATCTACCACACACACAGCGGTTTCCTCAAGTTGAAGATCAAGGTCTAACAGTTGTATATTGTAAAGGTTATTTCTAACCTTTTTTATCTTTTGTTCTGTTCGCAGAGAAAATTGTTGCAGAAATTTATTCATAAGAGGCGTTTTTTTTAATGAAAGAGTAAAAACACTAGATTTTTGCAACAATTTTCTCTGCGAAAACTGCTAGTATAATTAAAAAATTCGTTATAATGCTCAAGTTCGTCCGGCAGTAAAGAAGCTGAATGTACATATGTATCTGGATGTGTTGGCATTTGAGTTAAGTGTCTAGCGTAAAAACTGGAAGTTTTATTCGATTTTTAAAATATGGGCCAACGAATGTGAAAGGGTTTTGAGAAAACTTTACAATATAAACTTTCAACTCGGAGATTCGCAAACCCCTAGGTATATTCAGTTTTGAATTCTCTTTTGAATGGTTTTTAGCCAAGGTCTGTGTCACCTAGTTGCTCTGAAATATTTGGATTTCACAAAAAGTTGAAAATTTATAATATAATAATTAATTTAAAAATTCAAATTTTGAGTTGGAGACTCAATTTTTTTTCAAATGTTCGCCTTTCAACGCTGAATACGAATATCATATTCAAAATTTGTTGTTCATGCCCAGTTTTTTTTAAAAGTCATTTTATTCGGCCCCTGTAGGTCAAAAACCACGGTTTTCTAGAAAACCCACTTCGAGGTGTTTTGAAAAGAAATTAAATGAGCCAGAGGAAGAGCGTAGTTTGAAACCCTTAAGCACCAGATGGTATTAAGTTTGATCAAAACAGCAAGAAGTTAGCCCAGACCTACATTTTTATGCAACACGCCTATTACCTGCCATGTACATATATAATTTTATTAATAGCTGATGATGGACGAGGCGGTGACGGGGCAGAAAGCTTACGGGATGATCCCCGCGAAGTAGATTTCTCGAAACTTGACGAGATACGGGGCAATGACGAGGCAGGCAGTCTACGAGTAGATGCTCGCGAGGAAGCTAAAGATAGTCCAACGCCCATCTCTGGTTGATACTAGAGGAAAATGCTGTGATTTATCTGTCGAATGTCTATTGGTATTGGCTATCTCGATACTAAAATCTTCTTTTAATATACTATGCAGAAATACTAATTCCCTGCCTCCTAATATACCTGTGAGCTATCAATGGTGTCTCGATCAACGACGGGCATGCTCTTCCAATTCTGAAAAAGTTTTTAAGGTTCTGTACGATTTCGGTGGCGATTCCCCTTCGAACAACCCGTTGATTCCCAATCCTAACCGACTTGGGACAGTCCTTGGAGCTGTTGTGACTCAGATCTTTTAAGCTCGGCAAAAATTCAGCGATTTTAAAAGACGAACTTGCACAATGCTCTGTTTCGGAATACAGACCAGGTTTGCAAAAGAAATTCGACAGAAATACTGTGTTTAGGTATCTAATGTCTTTAGAAGCTGGTAGATAATGTTATTGCTTGATAAAACCACTATAGTATTGATCGGTATTAGTAGTTGTAGTAGTAGTATTTTATTCACGAACAGTGAGAGCCAACAAAGACTCCCGACCTATAATAATAATCACTCGAGCCAAACAACAACGGAAGAAACTATAAATAGGAAATAAAATTAGAAAGAAAAGTAAACTAGTGTACTAAAAAATATGTTTTTTATATATGAAATTGGCTATAATTCAGATTTCTCCATTGTTATAGCCATTCGGTACTGTATGATCACCTTTTTTGTAATTTTCTATAATTTTCTACGCGAGTTGGTTAAAAGTGAAATGTCGTTACGGTATGGTATGATTCAAATGCAATCAGCTATACGACATAAGTAGAAATTTTTCTGGTGTTAGATTGTAAAATTTGTTAAAGTTTAGTCCTGTTACTTTGAAATTTACATTCGTCGAAAAATTGTATAGGCCATGTGAAATGAATTCATTTATCTTATATTGACACATTCTCTCTTGATACAGGTGATAGAACAGCGAATAACTAAATTTGTACTCAATCTGGTCTGGTTATTCCTAGTTTCGTTTTGCACTGTCACATACTATTCAGTAAAGCTATTACCAGTCACAATTTTCTCTTACTGATATTGGTATTTCATGATCAGAAATCAATGGTAGTAATTAAGTATCGCATTCACGTTTAACACCGAACAGTTTAATATTTTCACATAATGTCAAAAATGTACAAAGCTTGAGAAACTCTATGATTTATCAGTTGCATAAAGCGGTTTTAAAGACCTTTTCTCTTTTCAGACCTCTAACATTTATTTTGACAGAAAAATAATCCGTTGATTGTTGCAGCTTAATTTTTTTCTAATCAAAAATGAGCGTAAACGAATGTTTTGAAGCGAAGTAAAACATGATTTTCAATTAAAAAACTATTTTACGCCACCTGTCACAATATTTCGCTTATTTTTGTATCATACAGATTTTATCATATTTTACTTCACAGTAACACGTTCATTTGACGTACATTCTTGATTAGCTCGGTAAATTCTCTCGAGTATATGAAGAAAAAACTGTTCCATTCACTTTTTCAATCGAAATAAATTAATTAAGAAGATGCAAATTATTTCTTTATCAAAATGAATGTTAGAGGTCCGCAAAACGTCGACAACTACATAAACCGGATAGATCGAATAAAAATAATCTGATGAGAGATCGATTTCTTAACATTTTCAATCCCTTCCGTTTTAATAAAAAATAAATGTGTCATGCTGATTTCGGTTATTTTCGTTCTCTTTTCTTGTACATAAGCACATTGGATTTGTTTGTTTGTTATGAAACAAAAAAAGGATAAATTATAGTTGAGAACACCGAACTATTTTTATTATTAAATAAATTTACTATATTTGATTGGCAACGAGGTTAATAGGTTCGATGATCGAATAAAATAATCAGACAAAGTGATACATTTAATTATAGTGTGTCTTTTATAATTTGGATATTTTGTTACAAAACTGTTGTGAGTTAGAACGAAAGAATCTTGTTTCTATTCGGATAAAAGCTGACGAATGTAGTCACTGTATTTTAGTATAGCTTTTGAACGTTTGCATCCTTTGGACATCGTTAATACAATCCATTTGCTGTATGCCGGTTGATCTCAAAGACGCTAGAGTCAAATTTCTATGTTTTTTCATCTGAGAGAGAGCCTATACTAATAATGAATACAAAGTAGATGATTTTCTAATAAGACGATGATATTGTGGTTAATGTTGCTCACAGTAGCTCTATGAAGATTTTTATTTCAACAAAAAATATGATGTAAAACTAAAATGGTATAGCTCGTTTTTTTAGCGATGTAGATGGAAACAAATAAAATTCGTCATCTATGACCTTTATGTCTAAGTTAAATAAGTTTTTCGTTGATGATTATGTAAGAAATGAATGAGGTCGAAGAGAATATTCGTGAATATGAATTTGATGTGAGCGGTTTGAGTATGCGTTTTGTTCGTAGGAATTAAAAATGTTTGAAAAAAATGTTACATTGTTTCTATAAAGTGCGGTCTACGTTTCTCTTTTTTACCTTCTATTGTATTGTATCCTACCCTTGGAAAAAGGGTGTGAAAATCAGAGCTGACCACATTAAGTCCATACATCAAGTGCTTTTATCTATATTTCTATCTTTGAGTAAACAAATGAAACGAACAAACTCTTGTCTCTAATGCAAAAAAAATCTTCGTGTTCCTTTAATGGGTCTGAATCAAGGTTTCTATTATAAGATGAATATGTAACCGATTATTCATTTTTAGAAAATTTATTCTATCAAACCCGGTGAGATTTTTTCTAAATTTATAAACCGTATGTATCTATTATACGTTGTTTACCAAACTTCTTTCATCTCTTGTTCTTTTAGTTGTGAGAAACTACAGCTATTCAGTAGCTGAAGCAAGATCAAAAAGATGTATATTATAACTGTTTTGTTGGTTGTTCTTGCAACGTGTTATGGTGCTCCTCATAAGTCCAAGGAACCTGTTGCTTGTGGATATGATGTAAGCTTTTGTGCTATATTAACGCAAAAACGTTCAGTTTATTTTATACTATGTTGTTTTTATTTTAGTCGTGTAATTTAGGTCAAGCCGATAAACTTAATGTTCACATTGTTGCACATACTCATGACGATGTCGGGTGGTTGAAAACTGTCGATCAATACTTCTATGGAGGTATGAGTTTTTCCTTTTTGCAATTCTAACACTACTAAATTTTTCTCGTAAAACAGCTCGAAATAACATACAACATGCTGGTGTACAATACATTATTGATTCTGTTATACAATCATTAGTACAAAATCCTGATAGACGTTTTATCTATGTTGAAATGGCATTTTTTTGGCGTTGGTGGAATCAACAGACGGATGATATGCAAGCAACTGTCAAAGGGCTTGTGAATGATGGTCTGTTAATACTTTTCGATCAGTCAATACTAATGAATCGATGCATTTTCTTTTTTCTCTCTCTTTTCAGGTCGTTTAGAATTTATATCGGGCGGTTGGTGCATGAATGATGAGGCAGCGACACATTACAATTCCATTATCGATCAACATACTCTTGGTTTTGAATTTTTAAAAAATAGATTTGGTGAATGTGCAAGACCAAAAATTGGTTGGCAAATTGATCCATTTGGACATTCTCGTGAATTAGCGTCATTATTTGCTCAAGTAAAAGCCCAGCTTAAATCAACATAGATTACATTACGTGTTATCCATATTTTACTTTAGATGGGATTTGATGGTTTATTTTTTGGACGAGCTGATTATCAAGATTACGAGCAACGAAACAAAACAAAAACAATGGAAATGGTTTGGAAAGCAAGTGACAATCTTGGTAAGTTGATCGATTGTTGTTACTGTATGAATCAGAAATGGGCGAGTACACGAAGTTCTGTGTACGAGTATTTTCTGAAAAATACTCGAGTAGTATCCGAGTATAAAATTTTTCAAAAGAAGCAAGTGATTCCGAAAAAATCGATTTTTTGATCTGTAACTAGTAAAAAAAGATCACCAGTTTTTTGAGAGATACTCGAGTACGTTCTGGAATACTCATTGAAAAAGGTCTTAAGTACAAGTACTCGCCTATCTCTGATATCAATTGTATATCAAAATAGATCAAAGCACAACTTTTGGACTTGCTGTTACATCCACTCTAAACAATGCTAAATTAAAGCTCTGCCTGTCAGAAATATAGATTTTTACATTATTAGTCGATATTAAGCTAAGTTTATGGTTAGATAGCTCACGAGGCCTATCCTTAGAATCCATGCTATTTTTGCCAATATGTAACGTTACTGAAGAAGTTCTCTGAAAAGTCTAAAAACCTAGCTTTTTTAAATTCTAATAAATTAAAAATAAATTCTCCTAAAGTGTCTTAGCGATGCTTTGATCAAAAGTTATACTAGTTTTACTAAGAGCCTTAAAATCTGTGCCATGCACTTACGTCACTATATTTTAAATCGATTTCCTGTTCGTTGCCGAATGTTGCTGTAGTTTTGACAGTATAGAACCAATTTTTCGAGTTTTGCTTTAGAAGGTAAGGAAAACTAAGAGTCTCTGAAAAACATAAAAGAGGCTTTTGACGAAAAAGGACTTGCGTTAATCAGTAACACAAAATTTCAAAAATCGGATTCTGTAATGCCAAAACAATAGCTTTTTTCTGTAGCACCTGAACTAGGTGGAAAGTTTAGGAAACCTACACTGCCTCATTTTGATCACTGATATGGGACATCTCACGAATTTGGATTGATAGGTCCAATGTCACTATTGTTTGACATGGTCAATGTTTTCTGAGAATTTTTACCCAGATTGAATTTGCAGTTATCGGAATAAAGGAGGGGTTCGCATAAGATCGATAATCGACGCACTTCTGTTTTTGCCTAAAAACGGTTCTGTGAGTGATAGAAAAGTATTTTCAGCTGGTTTTAAGTAACTTCACGCACTTTTGGTAACCAAAATCAAAGTAATTCCTCGTCAATAGGGTGCCAATAGCTCATTCCTCAAAGATCAGCTATAGGTTACGTAAACTGTGTTTTTCTCATGTTTCTTTCACGTAGACCGCAAAGTAAACATATCGTTGGATAGTTTCTAAAATTCTCTACAGACTGCGTGTAAAGTAACAGGTTAACACGTTGATAGCGGTAGAACGCTTAGAATAATCTTACATATACACTATAGTAGACAGTCTTTGCTTGTGTGATCCTGGTCTTTTTCTCTCAAACAAGAAAAGATATATTTTTCTATTATATATCATTTTCAAGCTCATGAAATTTGCTCTAAACTGGCAAGTTCAGAATTTCAAGAACGGTGGGACCCATCCCTGGGAAATGGACCAGAAGTAAACCGACTAGGGAAAAATGCGACATACTTCCAGCGTTTACTATTTCTTATACTAGTAAAGAAAGATGTACATTTCGTGTCATATACTATTTTAAAACTTGTTGAATTTCCTACGAACCGAGCTATGTATGATATCTTGATCAGTAGGTTCAGCCTCTGTAATTTTAGGCGTGATATCAGTTTTTTGCTAGGAATCCCAAGACTAGTATTAGGTGACCTCGGATAATCTCTAAAGTAAATGGAAACATAGGTTATCGACCATACTGAATTTCGTGACAATGTTTCTTGTCAGGAAAAGGTGGGTAAATCTAATGAAACTGAGTTTTGAGGAAAATACACCAATTTAGCTATAGCTATACAAAAATAAAATATTCCAGTCTCCCTCAAAACCCCTTGCAACCCTCAGAAAAGATTCTCTCTCCCTTGTTTTACATGTTGACAGAGTCAGAAAAGTAAGAACATCTATTTTCTCAGTAGTGGGGTTTTCAGATGTTTTCTAGGAATGTGTCGAAAGAGAATATATTAGTTTAGAGTTATTTTGGTGTTCGCAGTATTCAATCTACTCGTCTGATCATGTTTTGAAGGTTTCAAGGGGTTTTTGTTTGAGAGAAAAAGACCAGGATCACACAAGCAAAGACTGTCTACTATAGTGTATATGTAAGATTATTCTAAGCGTTCTACCGCTATCAACGTGTTAACCTGTTACTTTACACGCAGTCTGTAGAGAATTTTAGAAACTATCCAACGATATGTTTACTTTGCGGTCTACGTGAAAGAAACATGAGAAAAACACAGTTTACGTAACCTATAGCTGATCTTTGAGGAATGAGCTATTGGCACCCTATTGACGAGGAATTACTTTGATTTTGGTTACCAAAAGTGCGTGAAGTTACTTAAAACCAGCTGAAAATACTTTTCTATCACTCACAGAACCGTTTTTAGGCAAAAACAGAAGTGCGTCGATTACCGATCTTATGCGGATCCCTTCTTTCCGACAGGAGGCCTCAAAAGAAGATTCTGTCTTTATGTTTCCATATTCGAAAATGTGAAAAAGGATCAGATGATAGAATCTTAGAATGTCCCATTACTGATTTCTGACTAAACGATGACATTTATGTTGTACATTCATCATTAATTTACACAATGCCTATCTTTAGATCGCAAATCATGGTTGTTTACAGGACTGTTACCAAACGGCTATGGTCCACCAGGAGGCTTTTGCTTTGATACATTTTGCGGCGATCAACCTATTATGGTGTGTCTTGACTTCTTTATTCGCTTTAGAAAAAATGATTGTTCTGAAATGATGCTACATCTTTTCAAACATCTTTTTTTCAGCAGTTTTTTTCTCATTTGGGCTGCTATTGATAAAGCTTTTTAACTTTTGCTTTAGACAAGCAAGGCTGACTTTTTACTGGTTTATTGCCTAATATGTATCAACCACCGGATAACTTTTGTTTTGACATAGGTTGTGATGATACCCCGATTTTGGTGTGTGTGATTATTGTGACGTTTGGCTCTATTTTTTAACTATTAATCAGATCACATATAAAAAAATTCATGTGATGTACATAAATACTTAATACTAGTCAGTTTTGTGTTGAAGAAATCTCCAAGATATCATCAAATATCAAGATAAAAGAGAGCCCTCATGGAAATTTTAATTAGGATTTTTGAAGTTTATGCTTTATTTGTCATTGCTAATTCTAGTGATATCTGTTATTTCTATGTTTAGGATGATCCACGTCTTCATGATTATAACGTTCCTGAGAAAGTAAACGCGTTCATAAACGCTGCTCATGATGAGGTGAGTTTGCATTCATGGTTTTTCACGGTAGGCGTCATTCATCTTCTTTTCAGGTACGAGGTTTTGCTACAAATCATATTATAATGACAATGGGTAGTGATTTTCAATTCGAAAATGCAAATGAATGGTTTAAAAATTTAGATAAATTAATACGCTATGTCAATGCACAGGTATGGCGCTTTCTAAGTTTATTGTGTATATTCTAAAATAATTTTTCTTTTTCACATACTCTAGCAAGTAAATGGTAGCGATGTCAATGTCTTTTACTCAACTCCGTCATGTTATTTGTACGCATTAAATAAAGCTGGACATACATGGACAACAAAAACTGATGATTTCTTTCCATATGCACATCATCCACATGGTTTTTGGACTGGTTATTTTACATCTCGAGCAGCACTAAAACGTTTCGAACGTTATTCGAATAATATATTTCAAGCAGCAAGACAATTAAATGCTTTCTCAGGAGTTAATGATCGAGATAGTTTATTTCCTTTACGTAAGTCAAACAATATTTAAGATTCAATACTGACTGTAAAACCATTTATTTGTTTAGATGAAGCCTTAGGAGTAGCACAACATCACGATGCTGTCAGGTACGTTCAAATGAAAATTATTGAAATGTAATCTATTTCTTATTAATATTATTGTTTATGTTTTTAGTGGAACAGAAAAACAACAAGTGGCAGATGATTACGCTATGCGATTACAATATGGAATTGACAGAGCTTTTGTACGTTCTAAATAATATTAACTTTGGAAGTGTTATTTTTCATCAGCGTCTTTTCTCTCTGTACACACATCACTACCTTATCAAAGTTACAGATATATTTATGTATAGTAAATAACTTTTTTTTTACAGGAAGTCATAAATGCTTCAATAGCTAAATTAATAACTAAACCGGAAAAACCAGCACCAATGACACCACAATTTTTATGTCCATATTTGAATATTAGCGAGTGTTTGCCAATCGAAAAAGCAGAACGGGTGAGTCGAATGAATTATGAATACGGACTAAAATAACTTGTTCCTTTCGTTGGATTTTTAGTTTACATTAACACTTTATAATCCAACAGTTCATGTAAGAACACATTTTGTTCGTATACCAGTTACTAATGATTATACAGTTAAAGGTCCAGATGGTCAAATTATAATGACAAATGTATGTTCATTAGAATTTAAATATTTTTTATTATTCTTATATATTTTCACGTTCTTTATAGTTATTAAAAATTCCCCAAGCAACATTCTCTATACCTGGACGAAAAAGTTTTGCTGAAGTGCAATTAGAATTTAGAACTGTTTTACCAGCGTTAGGTTTTAATACATATTTTTTTGAACCGAAAAGTAATTATATTATACGATCTAGCAGAGAGAAAGAAAAAGAATCGAAGTATATTAATAACTAATTGGTGTCTACTGTTTCTATATATTTTTAGGTGACCAAGAATCATTAATTAAGAACATAGTTAATGAGAAAATATCGACAAATGCTGCATGTATTCTTCAAAATCAAGTAATGTCATGACGAATTTGTTAACAGTCAGTATGTATATTTATTTTATCAAATGAATGTTTGTTTTTTTTAGAAAGTTCGTGTTGAATTTGATGAAGCCGGAAATTTGAAGCAAATAACGAATTTGGAGAAAAGCATAGTTGTTCCGATAACACAAGACTTTTTCTATTACCAATGTATTTATCTGTAAAACTTGGGTTATTACTCTTTTCATAACACTCTCCTTCATTTTAAGCTTTTCCTGGCAATAATTCAAGATCAGAATTTCAAGCATCTGGTGCTTATATCTTTCGTCCTGTCGCTCAAACTCCAAGCCCTCTTAGTACTACACGTAAAATAACTTGTGTGCAAACTGATACATATCAATCAGCACAAATCATTATCAATGATTGGGTTAGTCAACAAATTAGCATTCATGACGCTCAATCAGTTGTTGAAGTAGAATGGACAGTTGGCCCAATTGATATTAAAGATTCTGTGGGAAAAGAAATAATTGTACGCTATGACACAGATATTAAAAGTGATAAAAAATATTATACGGATGCAAATGGTCGAGAAATACTTGAACGTGTAAGAGATTTTCGTCCAACGTGGAATTATACCATAGCCGAACCAGTCAGTGGCAATTATTATCCCATTAATAGTAGAATCTATATTAAAGAAGCTGGTAGACAATTAACGGTATTGACAGGTAAGTGTTCAATGTAGACATTACAGTACCCGACGAGTGTCTTCTCACATCTTCAGATCATAATTTATTTTTTTTATTTTATTATAGATCGTTCAGAGGGTGGTGGAAGTATCAACGATGGTTCTATTGAAATTTTAGTTCATCGTCGTACATTGTACGATGACTCTTTAGGTGTTGGTGAACCACTCAACGAAACAGCTTATGATACTGGTCTTGTTGTACGTGGACGACATTGGCTAATTATTGAAACTCCTGAAAAGAGTGCATTGTCACATCGTGTTGTTGCACAAGATCTCTATATGGCGGCAATACCAACATTCTCTCTAATCAAATCAACATATGAAGAATATTCTCAAAATTATCGCACAACATGGTCAGCAGTAACGGAATCATTACCACTAAATGTACATCTATTAACATTTGATTTACAAGAAATAACAGCTGAAAATATTGGCAAATATTTAGTACGCGTCGAACATTATTTTGAAAATAATGAAGATACAGATTATTCAAAACCGGCCCTAGTCGATTTACAAACATTATTTACCCAAGGAAAAATTACTGATATGGTTGAATTAACATTAGGTGCTAATTTAGAATTAAAAGATTTAAATCGTTTACAATGGACAACAGCTGATGGCAAGTCGTCTAAATCGTCAAAATCGTCACTGTTTAAAGAATGTAAGTTTAATCAAGTTTTATCTAAAATAGTAGAGACTATTTGCATGATTGTTTAACTAATTTTGCAAATGGATACTGAATAAATTTTGTTTTTTAACTGCTTTTTTAATTAGAGAAAAGCTTCTGAGATTGAATCTTTTTTTTGGACGCATTCCTTTCTGTAACTTTCTTTTCAACTTAATTGACGACCTTATCTACATCAAACGCTAGCCTATTTTCTCTATTTATACCTGAAATTTTGCCTTTAATTTAATTTAAATCTTCTCTCGACCTTATTATGATCAATAATTATGTCATTTATTTCAGCTAATTCATTAAAAGCAACGACGATTATCTTAAATCCAATGGAAATTAAAACATTTCTAATTTCAGTGCAATAAAATATCTAACCAAAGTTTTTTGTGATATTTTTCTGTTCTTCTTAGTATACAATTGTTTCTTTATATAAAAATGATATTTTTATACACATTATAAACTTTGTGATTTTTATTGTGATTTTTTTTCTTTTTTTGTCATTTGACAATAAGTTGTATTGTTTTTGTTTTACACGTTGTATTTTTATACGTATACGTATTCTAGGATTATTTAATAAAACGTACTTTACGAAAAAGTTTACAAAAACAATAATATAAAGCCCCACTAATAATGCAAAAATAAAACAAAATATATTAACAACTAATAGTGGTACTGTATCGAAAAAAAAAATGTTAATAATTAGGACTTAATTAGTTTGGGACGTTATGAAAAATTGAAAACACATTTGTTATATAAAATTGTTTTCAACTAATCTTTATAGATCTATAAACTATATAATAATCATCAAAATGTAAAGAAAAAATAGAAAAAGAAAAAGTGTCGAATAAAATAATTAACGATGATCGATCGAACGTATAAATATTATTAATCCGATACTTAAATAGACAATAAGTGCAATAACAAACGTAGCTAATGACCAGCTAAATGATCGTCTAGAATGTATTAATGCTTGTTCATAATAACCTTTTTGTTCGCAATGTAATGATCGTGTTGCATAATATACGGCAATAATTCCTAAAAATTAAAAACATAAAAATAATAGAGAAAATTCACTATTTTTACGAAAATATATTTTCATAAACTTTTAGATAATATACCAAAGACTTTTTGTATTATTTTATAAACTCTCGTGTACAAAAACTGTAGAGCTCGATAGAAAAATACATTTTAAACGTTTTACTATGAAAAGTATTTATTACTTACGGTATTGTATATAAAGTCTTTATAGTCTTTGGTATGAATTTAGTGTTTAATTGCTCTTTAACTTTCATGAATAGGCCTTTTTTTTTACAAGGTTTTGAATAAATAATTATCTTATTAAATTAAATTTTTCAATTTAATTTTTATCTTATCTCAAAAACTCACACCGTCTATGATCTATATATGTCAAAACTATTGATATATTTATTATTGTATTAACAACAATAAATTCAATTTAAATATTTTCATTAAAAAAAAGAATTTTAGAAACACGCACCAGTAATAAAAAATATAAGTGATGAAAATATGGCACACGCTAAATAACGTTTTGGATGTGCTTTGTCACTGGTAAGATGATATGGTGTAGTTATAGAATCTAAAACAAAATATACTATCGTTATAGTTAAAATAATCTTTTAAAGAATTTTACCTATATTAGGTGAACCACGTTCGGTACCAAATGATGATTGTCCAGCATTTGACCATTTGCATGGTGAAAGTGTACTAAATTTTTGAGTATGAAATGATGAACAAGCTTGTGAACTAAACATTTGTTATGAGTATTTAAAAATTATTTAGCCATAAAGTATATAATTATCTGTAAATAGAAATAAGATCATTAGTCAAACAATAGGGTTCATCCCGGAAGATAAAAAGAGCGTCCTATTGTTGTCATTTGTCACACAAATATAGTGCAGTTTACGATAACTGTTTTATTTTTATTTTCAAAATACATAAACAAAAGAAAGACAACGGAAAAGCTCTTTTCTTTTCTCTCTCTCTCTCTCTCTCTCTCTCTCTCTCTCTCTCTCTCTCTCTCTCTTTCTCTTTTATATATACGTTCTTAGTCTTTTCCATTTCTTCAATGATTAACTCTATAATTCGAATGACATGCAACGGAAATCAGTCTTCAGAATTTCTGTCTATTTACAATTTCCGCCTTCATATATTTTCCCTAAAACGTTGATCATCGATTTTTACTACTGATAATCAATCATCATCCAAAGTTTGTTTCTATTCACTCTATCACCATTTCATTATAATAGACTGATCAAAATTATGGACAGAAAGAGTAACAATTATTTTCTCAAATCAATATCATATTTTCTTAATAAGGTTGTACTCACTTTAAGTTAATACATGAAGAAAAAACATTTTTTTACAAAGATTTTTCATTAAATTTCTTTATTAAATATGAAGAGAAAATAGTCGGATAATTAAGAATTGCCTGTAGTTTTTAGCTTTATGTATTGATTTAATCGAGCACAAATCTTCTGATATACCAAGTGTCCCTTTTAACACAATAATATTTCAGAGATATTTGTTACCTTGACAAGTCTTATCCTAATTTAATTCAAGATCATTGTTATTCATCGCAATTCGACGCCTCATGATCATCGATCAATTTAAATGATTACATAAATTAATTGATTTGTTTTTATCTTGACAAAAAAAGTTTGCTCTTTTTGCCAAAATAAGACATACTATACTTATTCTGTTTAACCCATTAAAGTTAATATCAAAAATCTAATCTCAAAATACGTTGGATATATTTATCCCAATAAGTATTTTTTGTCTTTAGGTCATAAAAACGTCAGACAGATGTAAATGTTTCTCTCATATTTTGTAAAAATCTGTAATATATTTTGATGCATTATTTGAACTCTACTGTTTGTGATGATGATATGACATTAAGAATCAGACAAACACTCATTCCTTTAAGGATAAAACATAAAAATTACGTTCTTTCTTCGTCCAAATAGACATTATACACAAATATAGCTCGAAACACCAAAATATTAATTAAGGATGGAATATGTCAAAGAAAAAGACAATATTCCTCTTAACTAATGTAGATATCAATGAATTATCAAGAAGGTATGACTACTGTCTAAGAATTTATATTTAGTCGTTAATATATTTAACATTTCAATTAAAACATCGTTTTCATATCATACAACTGTATTTGTTGATTATTAATTATTATTTTTTTTATCTATCAAAGATTAAGAACAAAATATCAAGTGCATAGCGGAAATTCTATTATATAAATTGCAGTAGAGAGAAATATAGTATTCAAAGTTCAAAATAGAAAAAATCCCAAAAGTAGGAAAACGGTAAACTTTTAAAAGCCGTTTTAGTAGACGGAAAAGTGTCTAAAAATATTTTACACAATATTACAGAAGTGAATATAATAAATTTTCCAGAGACTTTATTTCTGTGCTTTGCTTTAGTACATAACAGTTTTCATGCGTGATATGGGATGGTTGAATGAATTAATAAATTTAGTAGAAAAAAAGAAAAGAATGCGGAAAAGTAGGATAAAATCCGGAATATAGATTATTTTTTACTAAAACGTAGGAAAAGTAGGATGTTTACGAAGCTTGGCATATTTCATTGTCTTTTAATCAAAATTTCATATATTATGACAAATTATATGTTATTCAAGTGCAGAAATTATAGACGCACTTTACTAGAATAGCAATTTGAGAGAATGTGAATGTTTGATTAAAACGCTTGGAAAAACGCGTACAAAACAGTTGAGTTTCTATTTACTCTTGTTGGAAGAAATTTTGTTACTTTTCTTGAGAAAATACGTTTACAATTTTGAGCAACTATATTTTAACTATTAAGAACATAATAGCTAACTAATGTTCACTCATTTAATTCAATGAATGAACATTAAAGTGTGACGTTTTGAGATTGAGTACTGAATTTTTAGAATTGTCATATTCATCCTAGTTAGTTAACGTTCTATTTTTCCATATAAGAATAATGAAGAAGAGTACTCAATTTAAAAGGTATCATCGATTATTTTCTTTTTGATGATGATACAATAATTCATTTTAGAATAAACTTACCCTTTTCCAGACTAGAATTTCATTCAAGTAAATCTATTCAATTTTTAATAGTTTATATATGTTTTTTGTGTCTTTTGTTATGCTTAAATATAAAAGAAACAGCTATGTTATATCTTTTAGTTCAATAACATATTTATATTGAAACAATGTGCTGTTGATTTCTTTTTTACTTTTCTCTTGAATTAACACTCATCCTTTTCTATTTCTTTCTCTATAATTTCGTATCAACTACTCATTTTCTTCTCGCTCTATGGTATGAACATTTTTGTTATGATTCTTAATATTTAAATATTAAATAATAATACGTTTGCTTTTGATTTCATTTCAAGTAGAAGAAAAAAAAGAGAAGAAATAAGATTAGAATAGAATAGAATATGATTTATCCTAGTTTAATCTATATAGTTTCAAGTTTGATTTCTATTATTTACTTTTTCTCTCTTTCTCACGCTCTATAATTTTAGAAAAAGTAAATAACTAAACAAAGGTGGTTTGTTCAAAAATTCCGCACACTTTCACTCATCCATTTACCGCCTTTGAATATTCTTTTTATCTCAATTTGAAATTAATTAAAAGTGTGTGAAGTTCGGGAAATAATGAAAAAATTATGAAACATAACTTGCTGTTAAAAAATACGTTAGAATACACACAAATAATAAGTAGTTAAAACTGTTATATTCAACAAACAAAATTGATTTCTTCTATTCTGTATGTGTATGTATATGTTCGATTATTGACAACATTCGGTAAATGTCCCATAGTTCTTTATAACTTACTAAATTGTCGAAGGAGAATACAAAGATAACAACAGTATAAAATCTAAAAGTAATAAAATTTTTATATCGTGTAAAATAGCCATGTTAATTCTTTTATTTTTATTATTATTGACGTTCTACAATAATTTGCAGTTGCTTAATAAATTCTTTCTTTTTTTATTAATTATTACTAGTGATTGAATGATAGATGCGTCTGTTGTCTACAACTGTCTAATAAAAAAGAAGAATACGAAATATTTAGAAAGAAAATATATATATTGTTATATACGATTGAAGATTGCGTTTTATCTTCAAGGAATACTCTAAATATTAAAAAAAAAACGTATGAATTTATAAAACTAACGAATTTTGACTTTGTTACAAATATGAAAACAAACGTGAATATTGTTTAAATATATTAAGAATTATTAAAAGATTAAGAAGAAGAAACTAAAACATAAACAGTTTTACACTCAATTATGATAAATAAATATATACATTCGTTTTTGACAACATTAAAATATCGTACAAAGATCTATGATTGTGAGAAAACATAATATATAGGAAAATGAGCAGCTCTTTCAGTGGTATTGCAGTACTTATTCAGCTTAACAGAATTCAAAAATAGCATAAGATGATGAAATTCTGCTATTTCTAAAAAATACACTCTAAATCTCAAACGTATAAACATGTACCATCAACAATATAAATGTCATATTCATTAAATGACAAAAATGGTAATCTATTCTTTTTCCTGTATAGTATTAAAAAAATTTTCACCATCAGTAATATCGACATTACCAGGAGACGAACATAACTGATCAATACGACTATCTATCTTCTTCATTCGTTTGTTTTATTTGAGTTGGCAAATAAATGCACAAGTAAATGTTGTTCTATCGAAAATAAGTCATGATCTAAAAGAAAAACAATCTTTCGAATAACTGAAACATATTAACATTTCAGTCAAACATATTCTTTCTTATTAGACTCTAAATTTTGATTTCTTTTAGTATAATCAATGGGATGATTTGTTTTTAAATTTAAACTTGCTATATTCTACAGGAAACAGTATAGATTACCATTATGACATTTATATTGTTGACGGTATATATCTATGCGTATTCATCATCTCGTGCTATTGTTGAATTCTGTTAAGTTGAATGAATACTGCAATATCACGGGAAGGACAGCTAGTTTCCCTATATATTCTTTGAGAGGAAAAATGAAAATTATGGTTGAAGATACTCGCAGAACATTAGCACATAAAAGTTTGTTAACATCAGTATCGGTACTTTCATCTTCGCAACTTCCTCCAGCATATTTATTCGAATAAATATGTCCGTTGACCGTTTCAATAAGAATACAAATCATCATTGTTCTTTATCTCTCTCTTATGTACTTTGAATCTATTTCTCAATAGTTATGTCATTTTGTTTTTTCCTGAAGATGAAAGCAGAAGCTTTCGAAAGCTCGAATAATAAAATCAAAGTGTGGGAATTTGGTAAAATTCTACTACCATGATCTTTATAGCAGTACTGTACTCTCTCCTCTTTCCTCCAGCTGGTTGGCTTTACTGTCAGAGAATGTTTTCTTTTTCATCCATTTCGGTTCAACGTTTAACGCACATTTTATTACCAGCAAGTAGTATTATTAACAGATGTAGAGAAGAGAAAAGCGTCTTGTATAACGTGACAGAGGAGAATAAGCAAGTAAATTTCTGATGACTCATTCCCGCATATTTTGATGTGTTACCAGAGTGCCCAAATCTCCTGACTTGACCAGGAGACTCCTGATTTGACCGGGAGACTCCTGATTTTTAGACTTTTCTCCTGGTGAAAATTCTTCTGATTTCAGGAGCTGATTTTTAAAGATTTTCCCCTGATTTCTCCTGGTTTTCAGTTGTGTTCCTGCATCGATTTTGTTTTTTCCAAAACTAAGATTATCAGTTTCAGAAACAGAATTTCTTGATCAACAGTCTAACTAATTGTATATTGAAAGAGTTCGCTGTGTGCTTATCGAATGTTTTCATCACAAGAAGATGAAATCAGTGAACTTCCAGACCCATACTAGGCAGGGCCGCAAATAGAAGCAGAACATTAGAGGGAGATGAAACAAAATTTCTCTTTGAGGTAGTTTGAAATTGATAAAAAAAGTTTTTATGCGAGGAATGATGGATAAAATAACAACAGCTTTTTGAATTATTCTGGAGGTGCGCATCCTTTCACACCCTCCCGTGTGTTGCGCCCCTGCCCATAGGATCAAATCTCTTTCCTCAATCCGTACTGCAGTCTGTAACAAACAATAATACTGTTTCATCGAAAAATATTCCAAAAAAAATGTTTTTTCGATTTTTTTGTTTTTACTTGTCCAAGAAAAAATTGCCTGATACTCTCCTGTTTTTCTTCTGATTTCGAAAAAACACCTCCTGATTTTTTAGAAAAAATCTCCTGATCAATTTCTGACTTTTTACGAAAAACTCCCGATTTCGAAAAACTGGATTTGGGCACCCTGTGTGTTACATGCATGTGGCTATCGCCTGATGAAAATATTTAGCCAAACATTCCACGTTAGGATGTCTATTCATACTAATATGGTTACCTGGATTCTTATAAAGTTCAATACCGCTTTCCGCTAATTCAATCCAATTGTGGTAAACCGATTTCTCAAAATATTTCATTTTTTCTGTGTCTGAAGAATAATAGCTTTCCTCCTGAATATGATGTGGGTTTGTATTTCATGAGTGCAGTTCGTGAGCATGCACGGTATTCAACAACGAATGGGCTTCCTTGAAGGATAATATACCTGCCTCATTAAACGTTTTTGCTACCATTCGCATCTATTCAATATCAGTCATTTTTTCAATTCATCCGCATTGATATTAAGTTTATCTCGAAAATAAAATCAATAGTTTGTGCATAATCAACAGCAGAACAATGTTCTGTAGTGGGGCTATCAATGAGCAGGACAAAAGGCACTGTATAGCCTTTTGAGTAAAGTTGCTGCGCAATCTCATAAGCTAGCACTCCTTCGAATGATGATCTTCCAAAATGGTACTCTGATCGTGGATGTAATTCCAATAGAATTTTGACATAGAAAGCAGCCGTTTCTTGCATGTTCTGGAAAGGTGAAATCAAACCATCCAAACCTAATGCTCGGAAGCCATATATATAGGTACTTGTGACCCCAAAGCAGTAGCTAAATCTTGATAGAAGTACACATCTCCGGCAACCGGATGTACTAAAAATAAAGGCTTCTTATATTCAACTCCATGTTGTATTTCGACCAGACAAGATTTATGCATGTGCTCTACTTCTCGTTTAGGAATTTCAAGTTGATTTCCGTCATGACACTCGTGTCGTTTTGTAATTATCTCTGCTGATGATACCACTATACAGGCCCTTGCAATAGAGGCTATGCACGTTGACATTTGGTCGACGGTGTTATGTTCTAGAACTGCGCCGTGTTTAACTGGATAATTTTTACCAAGTACAGATTGGAAACGGTTTCGTAAACTTAACGCCATAAGAGAATTTATACCAATGCTAGTAAACGTCTCATCGAGACTTATATCATCTTTATCTGATAATCCTAAGAACGTTTTTACTTCGTATTCTATCCACGATTGTATGAATTTCGTTTCTTTCCCCATTTTCAAACTACTTTCGTATTTCAATCAAAAGTCTTCATTAACTTTCTTCTTTTCGTACATCGGAGTTAACTGTATATCATCGTCTAGGAGAACATAATGCTCACTTTTCCTTATATAATTAGAGGAAGACCATAATTCAGTGAATATTTGACGACTTCCCAAATAAACATCATAGGAAACTCAATTGTGGATGGTTCACCGCTAATGATATCGTCAAACCCCACAATAAAGTTTGATACACATCAATACAATCCTGGTTATCAACACGCTGCACTCCCCTCGTCACAATTATTACCTTCCAATGTGACTCCATTCCAGAGGAAATTAAACTCTGTATTATTTTTAACAGTTCAGCTTCCATTTGCTGTTGCTGACACAATGTTTGGATAGACAGACCACGAAGATAGATGATGCTGTTGCTTTTGTATTCGCAAGATTTCCATGTTCCATTCAAATTATGATGTTATTCAGTTACCCGCAATTCAACGTCTTGATTTAACGTGGAAGAGTCTTCACATACGACATTATCTCCAACTGACTGCAGTTTACTACTTAACATTTTACCCGCATCTTCAGTATCGTGGAATATGAGCCAATTGCTTTTCTCCGAATCATCAATAGGTAGAACATCTGTTGTATGATTGTTAGATGGGACCTGTGCTATGATGATTGGTAAAACAGAATCATCAACAATAATGCACTCATCGAAACCTGATTCTTTGATAACATTTTCCCATGCTTGTTTAGGAAGCAAGGGATAATTAGAACGTCTCCCAGTATTCGTAAAGTGCCACCAGCCATCTAGTGTGCCCGTCATGCAGGTTTAATGCCCTTCTAGCAGTATTATATGAAGCATATATATACATGAAGGATTTCGCAATATCTTTGGTGGCATGTACAACATTGGCAGCAACTATGAGATAATAGAGATTCGGTGTAAATCCTTGCCTTTTCAGATCTTTTTCCAAGTGTAACATGTTAAATTTGACCATCGTATAAGAGCTGAAGAGATATTTAGCTTTTTCAAAGAAGAATGGCGGAATATCGGTGTAAATGGAAGGAAAAATCGAAATTCTGACACTAATTCACAATTTTCTTCATCAGAACTCAACTTTCACGCAATGAAAATATCATATTCGGAATCAGCGTCGAAAGTCGAGTCGAATGATATATATTTGAAAATTTTTCGTTGGTTTTCATTTTTTCAATAAAACCTCAGTAATCTTTCGACGCGAAAATTCAAAAAAAATTGAAGTAATCGAATAGGATGAAAAACTACATCATTCGACTCAATTTTTGACGCTGATTCCGAATATGATATTTTCATTGCGTGAAAGTTGAGTTCTGATGGAGAAAATTGTGAATTAGAGTCAGAATTTCGATTTTTCCTAGTAAAGTCGACTTTTCTTAGCAATGGAAAGGAGTTTTTAAAAAAGCAAAACGTACTTTTGAAGCTGAGGTGTTGGCGGAGACGATGACGTATAAATCGTAGTTCCAGTGCTCCAGACAAAAAACTAGATAGGTTTACAAAATGACTCATACCTTTTTAGCACCTGTCTATTCGAACGTCCATGACGGACGAGTGTTTACCTTCGAACTGGGTCTAATACCATTTTCTAATTCGGCTTTCGATGCTGAATCAGAAAAACTAGTTTGAACATTCCATGCTGTAACATAAGTCGAAAAAGTTAATTTTAATGAAGACCAAGGATTTTTCGACTTTCGACACCCTTCGAATTTTTTCGGTTTTTCGACATGAGAAAAGCATTTGGAAAATTTGAAAACCACATATTCGGATTCAGCTCGAAGAGCTCTATCGAATGATGTATAAATAAAACAAAAATAAAATTTTGTGGAAACTTCGACTTTTGAGCACCTTATATACGCACTGTGAATAGGTATATCGGAAAAGTATTGCAGAAGCCTATATGTATCGCGGCATATATCTTCAGGTAATATATGCAAACAAGCACCATATAACAATGCGGACCATATTTCATAAACTGAGACATCAAAGCTGATACTTGACCATGAAGCACAGTTCTGTCCACGACAAATTGGTTTTCTCTCCTGTATATCGCACAATAGGTTTATCAAACTCTTAGACGATATTTCAACTCCTTTTGGTATATCAGTTGTACCTGAAGTAAAAATTGTGCCATTGGCAATATTTGCGGATTTTTTGACACAAGTTGGTTTTTCAGCGATTCTTTCAGATTATCTAACATCAGTACCTAGCCCGAGTAACCAGGATAATTATGTATCGTTGTTGAATTTGTTATCAATATTGCTGCGTGAACGCTATTCAACATAAATTCTAACCGTTTTGTTGGGTAGCTTGGGTCCAAAGCTAAATAAACACCACCTGCTTTTAATATTGCCAGAATTGTAACTATAGTAAAAAACTAATTACTGCCCTTCAAAAAATTCCAGCATGATACGTTTTGAAGGTAGATACTGGCACCGATCTCATTTCGGCACTAGTTGGTTGAGTAAGAAAATGCCAGTGCAACATACACTGGTGCCTACTGGAAGTGTCACACTGACTTTTACCCATACCGTACTGAGAATTTTTTTGTAGAGTAGACTGTAACAAAGTTGCTACATGGTAATAATAGTTAAATGTAGAATTAAATTAAATAGAATTAAATATTTTGTTCTAGAAGAATATGCAGAATTTTGCAACATTTCACTTTTGCGAACCATTTTTTGCATTACGCAAATTATGTTTTTGCATTTTTTTTGCGTTAGTCACTTGATCACGCAAAAAGGAGTTTGGTTTTGGCGGCATGGACAGTATAAGAGTTTTAGGAGTTAAAATCACTACCATCATCAATGTGTTCGCGAAATAATTCAATATGAGAAAATTCATCTGCCATGTACTAGCACAATTTCAACATTCGGTTTTAACATCAAATTAATTTAAAATCGAAGTATAATGAACTGTTACTGTGAAAGTTATCAAGTTGATCTGTAACCAACTTGATTGAAGAAAATGTTTTGTTTTGTTCTAACATCTCTTTTTCTAACATAAAAGTATCTCCTTTTTTATAAAGAGTAATGTAAATAGAATAAAAGTAAAAGTGAATAGGTCAAAAGAATAGAGTTGGTAAGAGCCGCCTTAGTGGTGGATAACAGCCTGATTAGAAAGTGTGACTGGCACTCGCACGCGGCTATACTTGTGATAGAGGACAATTTCAAGTCGTAAGTTTTTGTTTAATTTCATTATATAGAATATGATAGAATTGCACTAAATGCTTACAGTTAAATATACAAAGAATTATATAAAAGATTGCAAGAAACAAAAACAAAATCAAATAAAATCACTACTGCGACGATGTGTTTTGAACATCTCTGAATGCAAGTAAATATGCTTGCATTTGTTTAAGAAATGCATTTAACATATCTGAAAGTGTTTTAGATTTAATATATTCCGTGGCATCTGGTATAAATGTAATAATTTCTTTTAGTTTCGTCGATGTTGTTGTTTCCATACATTTTCCAAGACATTCTTGTAATGCGATGATATCAAGACATGCTTGCATACCACCATGTTTACTAAATTGTGATATACACTTATATAGTTTTGATAATTCATTCACCAATATATTAAGTATTTTCGATAGAACATTGTAAACAAGTAAACCTGATATAGAATAAACTTCAGCATGGATACGAGCTAAATCTAATATGATATGTTTAACATAATCTTTAACACCGATCACCTTTGAATGTGTTGCCCAATCAAATCTTCCGGCATACATTCGTGTTTCTAATTTATTCAAAAATGGTTTGATATATTCAGTTTGAATAGTATCAATTATTTGTTCATCAATTTTATCGTATATAACATCTGTTTCATTGAATACCTTATCCATGCCTCGAAAACCATAATTGACAAATGATGTTTTCAATCGGGGTAAGATATATTTACGCGTATAACTGAAATTATTCAAGATAATAACTAATTTTAATGTTTTTGTTAATGATGAATCCAGAGGTGCACTAGTATTTCCTGTATCGCTACTTCCGCCAACATTACTCACACCATCAATAAAACCGTTTTGAGTGGATGATGTGTTAATGGCCGTACTACACTCTTTCACAAGAGTTTGAAAAACCGTACCAAAATCACCTAATAAACGATAGACGGCAATAGCAGCTTGTTTGGTTCCTTCTTTATCCTCGAAAAACTAAAACAGAAGATAAACTAAGGACTCTTATTCGAGTTAGTACAGTAATCACTTTTTTTTTATAGCCTACATACCCTTCTTTCTCCTTTAGCTAAATTAACAGCTAAAACATGTTCGTGAACAATAGTCAATTTTTTCAATACCATATCATGAAACAAATTTGGCTAGGACAGATAAAAGAAACAATTGTATACTGTCTGCGTAGACTCTCATTACTATTAAAATTCAAATTTTATATTTTAACTTACTAGTTTTGTATGTGAACCAAGTTGCTCATCTCTTTCTAAATCCCATGTTTCTTGTGAATATAAACGGGCTACCTCTACATCAGAACAGAAGAAAATATTTTATTGGTTATCGCAAAAAACGTTTCGATGCACTTACCTATACATGCATGATCCATCAAAACTCCGAAACATTCGAGTCTCAAATCAAACATTAATTGCTGTAATTCTTTTTTGAAATCAGCTTGTATTTCAAGAGAAATCAAATGTAAAACACATAATCTAAACAGATTCATCGTATATAATTGTTATTACATAAATCTTTAGTATAAAAACTAATCCTGTACCGACAATTTTGAACACAATGTGGTAATGTTTTCACTCGCTGATATGCTTCACGTGTCATTATTTCTTCGGAATTCAAATATTGTTCATCGCCTTCATGACCCGAATCAATATCACGATTCAGTTTTGACAATAAATTTAAACGCACAACATTGATAAATGTTTGAATAATATCTTTCGTCAGCACCTAAAACCAGTGAGCATGAGTGAAATTCAAACGAATAAATATCGACTTTCTTACTAAGAATTCTGGACTTTTATGCGGATATGCTCTATCATTCTCATCTGATCTCTAAATGAAAAAGAGCAGAGATAATATTTAATACGACTATAAAATACAAAGCGTATTTTACTTCAGCTGGATATAATTTTTTCTTCAAGTATAATTGTGTAAGATTCCAAAAATCGGGAAAAGCGGTTGTTAAAACATCGCATGCTTGATCCACTAATGCCGTTGCATCATGATAATATTTCATATCGTTTGCTGAAACAAACATTATTCTACTCTATGAATAGAACAGTTAAACAGTCACTTCTAGTTGAACGTACATACGTTGTTGTTGAAGATGTTTTGAATCCATGACACACGATTTTAAAACGTCAACAAGCGAATTTTTTTCATTATTAATACAGTCCCAGGCTGGATCACCTCTTGGATCGAGGGAGTAAAGGTATCTATAAAATTGATAATAATGAAAACAGAGTAAAACAAACAAACAAATGGTTTGTTACCTTATAAATAATTTTTGATCTTCAAGTGATGAAGGAAATTCTGTTAAACGTTGACGAAATAATGTTCGTAAATTTTGAACTTGTTGATCGACTTCACGCTGAACTTAAAAATAAATAAAATTTGAAAAATGTTGTGAAACAACTAATCTATTGTACACCTACTATTCTTGAATACTTTTGATCCGACTGTTTCAAATGCTGCTCTCGCTCGTATTAAATCATTAATTACTTTTTCATATTCCTCCTTAAAAAGTATAACAATCACAAGTATCAAGTATACGGACAATTGTCACAGTATTTCAACTTACTCGTTTAACACTGCGTTCAATAGACTGTGGTAGATGAAAAATAAATTTATAACGTTGAATAACATTTAATGCATTACGTATGGTATCAGAATAATCTTTTCGTTCTAAATCTGTATCATACATTGAATGAGCAATATTGGCTATTTCTGAAACGAAACAAAAACACACTTGAAAATACAAAATAAATGAAATTCGAGTTTTTTAACCTTCTGTCAATTTGATAACAGGTTCAAGAACGTTCTTCTTTCGATCTTCGGCACATAAACGACGGATATCTACAAGATACTTGGTGAAATGATAAATTTAAATATAAGCAGTACAATTATACCTTTCATAATATCAACAGCTTCCATAAATGATGCAATATTATTCTTCACCAATGTGGTTGATGCACCTTCATTGTGAGATTGTTTCACTTTTAAATGTTCAAGATTTTTTCGTAGTTCATCAAAACTAAATAACAGAAGAAGAATGTTGATCAAAATACTGATAAACTAATGAAAACTTGTACCTACGTTGCATTTGATTTATGTGCAAGCAAATAATAATATGGATTAAAATTGGATTGTGTAATATCAGTGCTACCTGAAGTATGACACAGAAGAAATAATGTTATAAACGGCAAAAATAAACTGATATGAAAACAACAAAAAATCAAAATTGTTTACCAGTGACATTAATTTTCCCAAGCCGCCTTTCGCCAGTTAAAGACGGGCTCGTTGGAGTATACTCTTTGTAACTATTGCAGCGCAAGGGGAAAAGAGCGGTGGTAAATTGAGAAAATCTATTAAGTATCTTAGAAACAACGTTGGCTGAAAGACTGAATAACATTGAGAGAAACTACATTTATCTGCCACTACATGAATTTTAAATGTGTCTCTCCATACTGTACTTATTTTTAATAAAAAGAACTTACTGTTCGGAAACATGTCGTAGAGTTCTTCTGCCGGTGTAACATTCCTAAATGAAATTTGTTAGATACATTCGTTCATTGTTGTTCTTCTAATTTTCACACATACACATTATCAGCAGCAGCTCCGGTTGAATCTCCACTACCGGGTAATATTGCTGGAGCTTTTGAGGCGTTTAAACCAAATAAATTCACCGCATCCTCTTGAATCCATACGGCCACTTCTTGTAATGGTCCTATTATATTAAACATACCAATGAATGTAAGAATATTTACAAACTCATTTTACATACCAGCTTGTTCAACGCGTCCATAAAATCCAACATTACAAGATCCAACGCCTCCACTTCTTGTAGTAACAATAACATCACCTTTGCCTTGACCGCTTCCCGTATAAGCTGTAATCTTTTTCGAATTTATCCAGATGGCTGATGATCGACAATCATCTCCACAAATTTTCAAGCCAATGAAATCTTTTTCATCATTACCAAAATGGTCACCGCGAATGGTTATTTTAATTCCAGGACAACCTTCTCGCGGAGAAATACCCGTAACCAATGGTTGAGGCATAATCACTTACAACTACTACACAATTAAGTCAAACGTTGTTTTAGTTTAGATGTTCAAGAGATGTTCAATAATAGATCTGAAAATAGTAAATATTGCAAGCAAAATGATCTCTAGTTCATGCGATAAGATGATAAATGCAATGGAAGAGATTGAGCAGTGAACACAACAGAACACGGTTTTCGCAGTCAGTAAAAAATATCTGCTGAATTTTCTTTAACTTTGTTTCTTTGACTACTGATAGTAGTGTAGCAGTTTAGAATTAAAAATAAAGTACAATCGAAACGTAATACAGAAAATTGAGTGGGACATTCATCTTGTCTCGAAAGGTGAAACGATCTGAATGAATGAATTTATTATTCACATTAGAAAACGATATAAGTAGTCTTTTTAAGTTCATTGTTCGAATAAAAAGAAAATCGGCACTTCAAAAATGATTTCTCCCATTTGAATTTGACGCATTTTTTTTTACTTATTTATTGCTATACTAGTCTGTTTATGATGTTACAGAACACAAGAAATCAGATATGGCGATTAGTTATTTTTGGGCCAGTTAAAGTGCAGTAGAGGGTACTGTTAAATACGAACTCTTATCTCTTTATGTTAGTCTCTAACCCGTTTTTAAGATTTAGGAAAAAAAGTACGCTGTTATGACAAAAAACGATTTTTGTACGAAGATTTTGATCGCGACCTTTTTTTTTCATTTTTGAATGACTTTTTTCACATCAAAAATAATGTTTTTAAAGCAAAGATAAAGACAAATAGGTGAGATCTTTGTTACTTATGATTTAATTTATAGGTTTCTTGCGTTAGAACATAGGAAAATTAATGTGCTTCTGAATAACTTACGATAAATCTAATGAAATATTGTTTATTTTTACAGAATAGACAATAGCATTAGTTGTGTTTATTACGTTGTATTTAGGTATGTCAGACGAAAAAGTGACTGACACTTGTTTCGAATGCGTTGGGCTAGCGGTTGAAGCGTCTGACACGTTTTCGAATTCATCGAACACATCCACTGAAAACGTTAATTATTGGTCCATGGATTTAGACATTTTTAACTGATAAAGCAACTTAACTCGGAAAAGTAACTGGTTTTTAGTTAGAAAACGGTTTGCCACATTTACATATCGGCTTATTATTCAGAAAAATTCAATATTCCTTTGCTACTGGATGCGTGACTTTTTGAAGATGGTAGCATTGGATCTAGATAATGTGCAGAATGGCGAAGAAGTGGAAGAAAAGTGTACTTAGCACACTGTTTTTAGGCGAGGTAGAGCGGTTTTCTTCCACAATTACGAAACTTTCATTAGAAAAAACATTTTCAATCAGATAAGAATTGATGGTACAGTGACATCTGTAACAATTTGATTGTTCCAAATTTTGTATCGAATAGCTATGGAATTATTTAGATACCTGTGCATCTTTTTCACGACACAGTCACTATCAGATGGATCATCAGAGGGCGTTTTACAACTTATTTAAGTATGATGCTTTGGATGATAACTTCTGATAAGAGACAACACTTTTTGTTTTAAAAACTTGCAAAATAAAAAGAACAGTTGTCACTCAAAAAAAATGAAAAGTGGGTTACGTTGCCAAAAAAAATGTTTATATTGATGCAAACTCTACAAAGTCTTTATAATGTATTCTATAGTATTTTGAAAGAAGAGTATCGTAAAACTGTGGTTATTAATAGGTTTCTTTAAAAAAACGTCCATTAGTAGTTGATATCAAATCCACTGATAGTTATTTGAGAAGTCAAAGCAAAATGATAATAATAATGAATCATTATTGAAATTACGGTTAATATACCTATTTAATTTTTTCTAGATACAAATTCGAAAAAGTTGTGCTATTGAAGAAATGACAATAAATTCAACTTTGTCACCGAAAAATCAGTGCGGCAGTTCAAGATCTGTTGCTAACCAATTTTACATCTTATGTGGAACGTTCAATGTAAACAATCGTCAAATACCCTCAAATTCCGATTTTACTGAATGGTTATGTCCTTCAACAACACAAATTCCCTCTCTTATAGCTGTTGGATTACAGGAAATTGCAAACACTGGAAATATTTCTTTTTCTCAAAATGATAAAATTGAAGGAGACGAATGGGAGAACATCATAAATAAAACAATCGAAAATTGTTCAAATGTACAACAAAATCAATATAAATTAATTAGCCGTGTAAGACTTTTGGGTAATATCATCGAAAACATATTCGCAGAGTAATTCTATTGGTAGCAAAAGAAAACCGTTGTGTTTATAAAAAAATATCTATGTTTGCGAAGCATCGTTTGAAAAGTCACCATAGCTTAAACCAAAAAGTAAGGGTTCTATTAATCGATGTAACGCTCCAATTTTTTTGTATTAGACGAGACTTCTCAACCGTTGAAGATTCATTAGTACTGAAATCGATCTCACTCTCATATCATTTTTAGGCATGTTATTATTTGTTTATGTGGAGAGAAAGCATTATGATCAATGTAAATTAATATCAACTGCATTTATACCCACCGGCTTTATGAATATTTTCGGCAACAAAGGTGGTGTGGGTATTCGATTTCGGTTTCATAATCAAGATTTATGTTTTATCAATTGTCATTTGACAGCAGGTGATAATCAATTAGAGAAACGTAATGATGATTATAAAACAATTGAATCTCGGATGACATTCATGCACAGGGAAAATATTCCAAAATGGTATACATCTACCATTCAAAGTCCTACGAATAACGACAAACAATCAATAGAGACACAATCGTAAGCATTTTTTTGAATGTTGTAGTTCTAGAGCCTATAGAAAGTTACAGATTTGAATATCTAAACTTGAAAAACAAAAATTGCATATTTTTAAGGTGGAAAATTGATGATCATGATATTATATTTTGGTTTGGTGATATGAATTATCGTTTAGCTCATCCAAATGAACAAGTACGCCAAGCTATAAAACAATTATCATTTATACCATTAAAAGAGAAAGATCAATTACAATGTCAAATAAAATTAGGAAAAGTATTTCAAAATTATCATGAACCGCCCATTAATTTTTTACCAACGTACAAGTTTAATATTAACACAGATGTCTATGATACAAGTGAGAAATTTCGTACACCATCGTGGACAGATCGCATTTTATACAAGTTTAATCATGAACATTATGATGTTAAATCACATTATTATAATTCATCACCGTCCATTCGATTTAGTGATCATCGGCCGGTTAGTGCTCTGTTTTCGGTTACGATGAAACATTCACATGATGAAAATAATACTAGAAGAATGGAACAGAAAGAATCGTCATTGAAATTAGCGACGGAACAAAATTTAGTAAAAATGGTATTTCAGAAGATAAAACAACGTTTCCATACTTCATTTTTCTATTTTAAAAGAGAAGTATATCAAACGAAATCAACAGGGTTTGCTTTTCAATCAGACTTTTCGTCCACTATTTTCAATAGTTCTTCATACTATTCATCGACAGTGATTAGACGACCGGTTTATTCACTATTGCAAAAATTTTTCATATTGCGTTATTTTTCAAAATTTTAATTTACTTGGCCAGTGATGTGTTCATGTTTTTGTTTTCGATTGTGGAGACCTAGTTTTATGCTAATGCATAAATTCCTATTTTATATGGTGTTTATTGTACAGAAGTGAAGTATTTATATACGATTATGTATTGGCTAACGTGAAAATTTTCAAAAGGATATGAAAGACTTGTTTACTAACATTTCACGATCTTCAGTATATTCGATGAAACTTATTTTACTCGATGATAAGTAGTTCTTTTAGATAAGATCTATCTTTTTTTTAACGATTACAATTTTACAACGACTGTGAATTCACACATTTACCGATGATACAAAACCGTTGAGAAAACAGACAAATGCATTGACAATTGGTATATTGGGAGCTGCAAATATTTTCAATTGGGCATTGTTGAATCGTGCAAGTAAATTAAATAACGTATTGGTTTATGGCATTGCAGCGAGAGATAAATATTGAGCCGAAGAATTTGCAAGAAAACACTATATTCCGAAGGTGGGTGGTAGAAGAAAAAAAAAGTCTTAGTATGATTAGAGAAATGCTATTTTGTCGGATGTAGATGTATGATTCACTAGCTGATCCAACGATAAACGTTGTTTATAATCCGTTACCCAATGGACCGTTATGAATGAACAATGGAAGCCCTGAAAGCCGGTAATCATGTTTTATGTGAAAAACCATTAAGTAATAAATAATACATGTGAAGCCATTGAAATGGTAGAAAGAGCCAAAAACTCATTGTTGTTCGTGGAAGCATTTCACTATTGTTATCATCCATTTACACGTCAAGCACTGTTTGAACTTCTATCCAATGAACAATTACTGGACGATCAAAACATGTTAAAGTCAATTTTTGTCTACCAGCAGGTTTTCTAAAACAATTCATATTCGTTTCAGTTATGAATTAGGCAACGGTACTCTAATGAATTTGAGGTGTTATATGATAAGCATGTCAAGATTTATTGTCAAAATCCAACAGGTTGAAGATGAAGAAGAAATACCTGTGATAATTAGTGCTCAAGCAATTCGTATCGACGGTCAAATTGATCATGGAATGTTAGTCTCGTGTACATTTGTTAAACAGAATATTAATGTGAATATTTATGTGGAATTTACGAATAATTGGTCAATACCAAAACAGAATATAATTGTGACAGGTGAACTGAGTACATTGAAAGCAGCATATCTTATTGCTCTTAGTTTCTATCATTATGAAATGATTACAAATAATCAGACTAGAAATCACAAACAATTAAAAACTATGCGGAAAATCAGAGTACATATTATTATCGATTACGAGCCTTTGTTGAAAAGATAAATAGTGCTATCACTAAAGATGATAATGAATAATCAACAGATGCCTATAAAATTGCATTCAAGAATAGACAAGATGGACTTCGTAATGATCAACGAGATTTACACAAAAGCAGGTCTAATGGATGTACTAGAAGAAATGGGTCACTTAGTATTTCGCCAATGTCTCTGTCAGTTTTCATTGCCAAGACTCGAACTTTTTAAAAGTTTGCCCGTTCAATTCTCTACAAAAACTATGTTGAACATATTTCATACATGGTATAAATAAAGGAATATGGATGAAACATTACGAAGCTTCAGTCTTCATTACTTTGTAGGCTAAAAAATAGTTTTTAAATTTTATTTCTTTATAACTTTCGATATAAGATAAGAGAAAATGATCATTTTATAGCTTTGAAAAGCTCTAGCAATTGGCGATATTCAAAACTTTTTATCATTGATTGGTTGTGAGAGAATGCCTTTTCTTTTATCGACTTTACCAAAAAGCATCGGCCTCAAACCCCAGTTTTGGGACACATGAGAATACTTTTAAAAATCGGTGAAAATGAAACATTTTGCAGTCGAGGTTGTTTCATCTGAAAGCAAAATCATTCTGCTATTGTATCCGAACAGTAAAACTTCCATTCTTTCTGCTGTACCAGGGCGAACTAGTCAAAATTTCCCCCTTTTCTGATGAATTTACTAAAAACGCTTTTAAAACTAACCTTTGATAGATGAAAAGCAAGGCGACACTTCGGAGCACCACAGGATACATTTTGCTTTTGATTTTTATGCATAGTACTGTTTTCAAAATAAATATTTTTACATTGAGTTTTGAGTTACAAAGTAATAGAGACTGGAGCTTCACAGTGTTTCATCCATATTCCTTTATTTATACCATGTGTAAAAAATGTTCAATATAGTTTTTGTAGAGAACTGAACGGGGAATCTTTTAAGAAGAAATTCGAGTCTTGACAATGAAAATTGACAGATATTAACGAAATACTAAATGACACATTTCTTCCAGCACACCCGTTAGTAGTGAGAAGACCAAAACTAGAATAAAATATGTAACAGTATTAATGTCTTTCTTTTGTATGATGTACTGTCTTATTTCTTTAGATTTTAGATAGATTTTGTTAATTTTATGTGATGTATTGAAATAAGAAAAGTACTTTCATAATGGCTGTCCTTTCTAATTTTAAATATCAACCATACACAATGATAATTAAAAGAAGATAGTTACAGGCTGTGTAGTTTTATACGTAAATGTTATGAATTCTCTTCTTCAGAGGTGACAGAATCATGGGTGCCTTGGCACTCACAGATTTTGAAAATTTTCGTTGTCTTCTAGCACAAACTTTGTTTTTCTTTGCGCTCTTGCCCTTGAGCACCCATAGTTTCAGAATCATTTCGCCGCCTCTGCTCTACTTGTAATTCCTCGAATGTTAGTTTTAATAGTCTTGTTGTCCATTATCGACTGACCATCGACAGGAACGAGTCCAGGCTCGAGCATGAATAAGGTCCATATGACATGATTCAAATGATGTTTTTCAACGGTGTTTTTTCAACAAAAATAAAATTCATAGCAGATAATGATATTGGATCGTTCTCTTATTGTTCATGGAGAGTAGGAGTTCCCTACGAGCATAAGAAAATTGAATTAACAAAAATTCTACTTGTTTTCACGTTTCAATCGTTAGGCAACTCTCATACATAATTACAGGGTAATTTTTACGTATCATTCATCGTAACCGTATTTTTATATATTTGCACCATTCGATCAACTACAGAGCTTCATTACGCTAACTTGAGTCATTGTAAAAGCAATTAATAAAATCTAGAAATTTTATAATATACTGTTCACTGTAATCTCGTCAGTTGTATTGTATTTGCCCTGTAATATATTAGAAACTGATAAAAAAACTCGAAAAAAGAAAAGTACGCTATTCTAGTCTCTTCGACTAATACCGACGAATAGTAATTTTTCTTTCACTTAGTCCAACGGATTCTTTCATTATATCAGACAAACAACGAGCATATACTACTATATTTTCTACGAAGAAAAAAACTCGGCCATATATTAGACTAACTATTTGTCTCTCCACTATATTAAAAGAGTGTGCAAATATATAACAATAAGAATGCACGAAAGGTTGATATTATCGTAATCGTGAGTTTTCTGTAAGAGATTCATGCATACGTGGTTTTATGTAATAGGTCTAGGTTTGTATGTTTCTTCACACACGAGTGAGGTTACCGTGCATCACAGCATATCCACCTAACTGATGTCACATTTTTAGTTACATGTCGATGAAACATTAGAAATACAGGAGGGCGAGGAGAAGGGTACTTCGTTTATTTGAGACTGAAATATTTTCTTCAACAAAAACACATGTTAAATGTAGATAGTTGAAGGATTTAAGTGATTTTGTAAGCAATACAGTCGTATGTACTTAATTTGAATCCAAAACTCTTCTATTTGTCGACGAATTTGCTGAAAAGAGATGAATGAGTTTGCTTGATATCTTACACCAGGCTAAATTTTATCATATCATGTTCGCAAAGAAAAATTCGATTATATCATAGTGTAATCAAGTATGAAAAAAAAGGATACATTAGTACCCATCGAGAAATTTTAGTATATAAAACGGCGTGTGCATTCGTGAACATCGTAAAATAGTGTATGGGCAAGCGTGAAGATTATATTCTTCTTGTGACAACGCGTGAACTGTTCACGGAAACTTTTTGCGTCATATTTTTCGCACGTGGTCACTAGTGAAAATCGTAAAAACGAGTCGTGTGTGACACATGTGAAAAGAAATTCTTGCTTGTAACGCGTGTGAAATTACAGAAAGTTTACACGTGACCACGCATTTGATGCTAAAACTGCACTGCCTTCGACAAAATTTCCCCTATGAGTAACAGCAGCAGCGATACAAAACAAAGAAGATATCAAATACGCATTTGAATAAGTAACAATCTCATACGCTTCGAGTTAAAGCTTGATATACGCATGTATCATGCGTTTAATTAAGGGTAGCCCCCTCTTTTTTGACCCTCTTAGAAACCGGGGACGCCGATGTCGGATCGGGGTGAAATTTATAACAGAGATAGAACATCGAAAAAGAAAATCGATATATTTTTGCACAGAATTTTGTGACATGTTCTTCTATGGGTTTTCTAGAAAACTCTGGTTTTCATCCCGTCACATTACGACCCCTCGAAAAAATGGTCCGATCGAGCTCAGAATTTTACCACAGATGCTTCAAACCCTATCTCAGGTTCGTTTTTTTTCTTTTCAAAAAATATGCTTTCCTTCTCGAGATATCC